TCTCTAGTGACTCCGCCCCTTTTCCAGGTAACTGCTCCCTTCGCTGCTCCCACGTACCGGCCCGGGCGACTCAGCCCCTTCCCTTTCTCACCCCCACTCTCTGCCGTTTAACTCCGCCGTTCACTTTGTTCGGGACGCTTCCTGCCCAGCAGAGTCCGCGCTCCCCGCCCGGGCCCCGCCCCTCTCCCCCGGTCACCGTTGCCGCACCGTTCCCGCCCCGCCCCTCCAGCTGGCCCCGCCCCCTCCAGGCCTCCCCTCGGTCCGCCCCGGCGGCTCTCACCGGCCACCGTGAGGTTGAGCAGAGAGCGGCGGCGGTGGCCGGTGCGCGGGTTCGCGGCCAGGCAGGCGTAGGCGCCGGCGTGGCCCGGCCCGACCGCGGGCAGCAGCAGCTGCGGCCCGGCCGGCACCGCGGCCTCGGCCGGGTCCGCCAGGCTCCACGCGATGTCGGCGGGCGGCCGCGAGGCGGCGCTGCAGCGCAGGGTCACGTTGCTGCCCGCGGTGACGTAGACGGCAGGCGCGGCGTCGCGGTCCGAGGAGACCGTGATGACGGGCGGATCCGGGCCATCTGGGGGCAGGAGGGGCTCACTAGGGCCACCCCGTCCCAGGGACGGGGCCCCCAGCCCCTTCTCCCCGGGCCTCGAGCCCCTGCCCCGACCCGAGGCGTTTCCCCGCTCACAGAAGACGCTGACGTCCGCCGCGGCCTCCGTGCGGCCGAAGGGGCTGCGGACGCTGCACGTGTACCGGGCGTGGTCGCCGCGCACCGGGCGCGAGATGAGCAGCTGGTCGCCCTCTGAGCGGATCCGGCGCGGCTCGGCGCCCTCGGGGTCCGCCGCCGCCAGGGCGCGTCCGTTCCGGCTCCAGCTCAGCGCCCCGCGACTCGGCTCCCACCCCACGCAGCGCAGCCGGAGCTCGGCCGCCCCCTCCTCTGTCTCCGGGGCCTTGGGCTGCACCGACAGCTGCGGGAGGGGCTCTGGGAGAGGGGAGCGGGCCCAGGACCGGTGTGGGAGCCCATCTCCTCGTCCCTCTCCCCACACCCAGCACTCCAGGCCGCGGCCGCTGCCTCCTCCGAGCCCCAGGAGTCGGGGCCCCAGCCCGCTCCTCTCCGGGACCCAGGAGTTCGAGAGAGAGGGGAGGCCTCGGGCCCCTCCTTCCTCAGACCCGGAGTCCTGGCCCCCAGGAGGCTTGGTCCCAGGTCCGGCTTTGCTCAAGCAACCCTGTCTTGGTCTCAGCCCCTCTTCTCCTCCCATCCTCTACCCAGAAGTCCTCTCTCCCCATCCAGGGACCCCCCCCTCTGGGGAGGAACCACCCTCAGAACCGGAGTGACTTGCCCAGGGGTCTCCCAGAGCAGGGCAGCCCCTGCAGCCCGCACTCCCGACCGCAGGGCACACTTACCGTACACCCCCACCGTGAACTCCCGAGTCTGCTGGGAGACCCCCGCCCTGATGACCTCAGCCGTGTAGACCCCCGCATCGTCCAGTTGCGCAGAGGCAAGTTCCAGACCCCCTCTGGCCTGGTCAAATCGCAGGCGGTCCCGGTGAACAGGGTCCAGGCTGACCAGAGGAGCCCCTGGCCCCAGGCCCCCCGCTGCCAGCACCTTGGCGCCCCGGCGCCAGACCACCAGAGGGGCAGGAGGGCCAGGGCTGGGGACTGGGACCAGGGGGAGCCAGATGGAGGTCCCCACCAGCACTGCAAGAGGCCCCCCCACCTGCTGGGGGAAGCTTGCAGCAGGGTGGGTCTCTGTGGAAACTTTCGATTCTGGACTGTGGTCAAAGGGTTCAAGATCTCTTGAACCTGGGACCTCAACAGACACTTTGGTGTCAGGAACTTGAGCAGAAATGTTTGAAGCTGGGCTCTTAGCAGAGAAAGGCGGCTTGGGGTCTTTGACAGGCACTTGAGGATCTGAAGTATCGGGAAGTACTTCGGAACCAGGAACGGCATCCGGGCTCAAATCTTGACCTTCATCATAAACATTTGACCAGAAGGACCCAGATGCATTGTTGGAATTCAGGGCCTCAGGAAACCAGTCGGAATCAGAGAGTCCAGCAGAGGCTTGTGAACTGGAAGACTGATCCGGAAACTTCAGGTTGGGAGGTTTGATGGAGGGAACTTCGGAACCCAGCCCCTGGGAAGAGCTTTCTGAGTCCGAAGAGAAGGCGGAGGAGAAGTTGGTTTGCTGAGGTCCGGAGGAGGCTCTGAGGGCGGGGACCCCTACTCCGGAGGCTGCAGAGGAAAGGAGGGAGGTGTTGGGGGAGGCAGCTAAGAAGGGGGACTGTGGGGAGGGGGCTGAGCAGGGAACTTACCCAGGAGTAGGAAGAGTGGCAGAACCCGCCAGGTGTCCATGGTACTGGCCGTGCTGGAGAGGACACTGGCGCGAGACCCAGGGCCTGTGCCCGTCCCTCCCGGGTAGGACGAGTCCGACAGGACTGGCAGCTTAGCTTCCTGGGTGGGGAAGGGAGCCAGACCCAGCGGGAGGTGCCAGGATCCCCGACCCCATCTGGTGGCTGAGCCACCCACCCCACCCCACTCTCTTCATCAGCTGGCCCAATGGGCAGGCCCAGCCTGACCCCTGCACTCCCCGCCCCCAGGGGGAATATGGGAGAACTGTGTCCCAGCTAAGACGTGGTGTCATAAAGCCAGGAAGACTTCCTGGAGGAGGATGAGGTGACTTTTTGGAGCCCTCCGCATCTCTGATGGCCAGTCCGCTCAGGCCTCCTCCCCCTCATCCTCCTGGCCTCTGTTCTCTTTGTCTTGCTGGCAGTCTCAGACCCCTATGTCTGACCCTGGTCCTCCTCTGCTCCAAACCCTCCCATGGCTCCCTGCTGCCCTCAGAACCAAGTCTCTAGGTGGTATCTCCTGCCCGGTCATCATCTCTCCTGAGACCCACAGCTACATTTCTGCATCCCCCAGGCCCTCACACACCCTGCGTCCCACTTAATTCAGAATCTTTTCCCTAAGCCAGCCCTCCCCCTGGGTTCTCACCTGGCCCTCCCCCCCCACCCCCGCCCCTCCCTGCTGTCAGTCTGAATCCTACCCCTCCTGCCCTCTGCCCCTCTCTACCCCACCCCCTCCGCTTGGTCCCCCTGTCCAGGCCCCGTCCTCTCTCCCTGCCACCTCGCCCTCCCCCTCCAGCCTCCTTCAGTCCCCCTGAGGGTCTTTCCGCACCCAGAGCTGCCCCAGCCCTCCCTGCCCCCAGCGCCCTCTGGAGCATCCAGGCTCCCCAGCGAGCGCGCCCACTCCTTCCCACCCCAGCGCTACCTTGCGAACATCCAGCCCATCCAGCCGTTCTTACCCTGCTGGTTCCGACTCCCACCTCCCAGTCCTCTACCTGGAATGCTCTCGCTCACTCTCCACCCCCTCCGACCAGGCTAACCGCAGCTTGTCCTTCAGGTCTTATTAAGAACCATAATTACTACTCATGTTGAGCCAGGAACCATGCTGAATGCTCCCCATGGATTGTCGGGCTGAATGCGCTATGAGCCAAGTGTCATTAGCTTCACTTTACAGACCAGGGGACTATGGCTCAGAGAGGCCAAGGGGCCCCCAGGAAGTTGCACAGCCAGAAGGGGAAGCTGGACTTGGGCCCAAGCTGGTCAGACTGCTCACTCCTTCCGATAGCCCCCATGCTGGGCTTAGGGCCTCTGCTCGGCTCCCAGTCCCTGGAGCTTACCCCAGCACAGTTCTCGCCATGCTGGTAATACAATAATAATGGTAATAATATATATTGAGTATTTTTTATATATCAGGTATGGTTCCAGGGATGCTGCATAAATTAACTTTTCAGAACTCCCTGGGGTAGTTTTTGTAGCTTAAAGATGGTTGCAAATTCGGCCCTCCTCCTGTTAAGAAGTGGGGTCTATGTCTCCCCCGCCCGCACCCCAGGATCCGACTAGAACAAGTGGGTGCAGTGACAGTGACTCCATTGGATGTGCCCGTGTCTGCACCCAGCTGGCGCACCCCACTGCCTGTGTGTTAGAGCACTCCCTCGTGGAACCCAGCCGCCATGCTGCGAGGGACCTCAAGCAGCCCCACGGAGCGGAATCATGGCCCCCGGTCCCAGCCAGCTTGCCAGCCACATGAGCCCACTTGGAAGTCAATCCTCTGGCCTCATTTGAGCCACCCCAGCTGATGCTGCGTGGAGGAGAGACAAGTGGGCCCTGCCGAGCCCTGTCCAAATTTCAGACTTGTGAGCAAAATGAACGATTGTTTTAAATCACCAAGTTTTGGGGTGGTTTGTTATGGCAGAACAGACAACCAGAATAAAGGCATTATTACTAATTCCATCTGAATGAAACCACGGCTCAGGGAGTAGTAACCTGCCTGAGATCCTCCCAGAGCCAGGAACTGGTCAAGCTGGGGTTTGAACCCACGCCCTGTCCACTACGCTGTCCTGTTTCTATTCGATCTGCCAGAGGAGGAAACTGAAAGCTCAGAGACAGGAAGTAACTCGCCCACGATCTCGGAGCGGCTGACGGTGAGAGTGAGGGTTGGAAATGAATAAACCTGACCTCGGCCCGGGCCCTTCATCTCTGCGCTAGGTTTTGATTGCTCGTCTGTCTCTCCGACCAGAACCAGAGTTTCCGGCCTTGTTCCCTCTGTGTCCCAAGTGTCCGCAGGGGCCTGGCACCTGGGAGGCCTCTGCGAATGCTCCGCGGATAAAAGCCTCTTCTCACCCGCCTCCTCGATATCTGTCTTTCAACACTCACCTTGGATGTCATCTTGCTGGGAGGTCTCTGACCCCGCAGGCAAGGCCAGGTGTCCCAGCTGGGTTCCCGAGGGCCAGTGCGTCTCCACATCTAGCGCACGTCACCCTGCACTGCGGCTGCCTGCGCCCGCGTCCGTGCTCCCCTTCAATGCAGAGGCTTCTCAAGGGCAGGGCCTGGATGTGGCTCGGCTGGGTCCCTGGCATCACCCAGCACAGGGTCTGGCACACGTAACACTTAACTAAATGTTTGCTGAGTGAATCAAAGAATGGGTCTCCAGGGAATGAGTTAACAGAGACGGATATCGAGAGTCGGTTTTATTGCTGAGTTTCAGGGAGGGCTCAGATCCGCCCAATCTCCCTCAGCTTGGCCACCAGGTCCTCGGTGGTCTCCACCTTGGTGCCGGCCGTGCGCTGGGGCGGGTCCTCCACGCTGAGCACGGAGAGCTTGGAGGTCAGGTCCACGCCCAGGTCCCCAGCCTTGATCACTTCGATCTTCTTCTTTTTGGCTTTCTGCACATGGGAAGCCACGGATCACTGGGCTGCAGAAGCCGCTGTCCACCCTCCCGCAGCCTCCTTCCCATGGTCCCTTTGCTGCAGAGCCACTCCCATTGGCTGAGCCCTTCCGGACCTATCTGCCGGCCAGGACACGCGCGACCTCTCATAGGCCACACCTGGTGTGGACAATTCCTGTGGCTAGGATGCCCTGGGAGACCCGACTATTGCAGCAGTCCTCCTTTATTTAACCACCTTAGGAAGCCCTTTATTGGCTGCAGTGGACTGGCAAACCCATCCTTTTGGCAGTAATGACCCAATGGACCCTCCCTATTGGTTGAGATGACCCATTGAACCTCCCCCTTTTGGCTGAGATAACCCACTGGACCCTCCCTAATGGCTGAGAAGACAAGAGGACCCAGTGAACCCATCCTACTGGCCATGATGATCAGTGAACTCTCCCTGTTAGCCAAGAGACCCCATGAACCCTTCCTTCCTAGTTAGCCAAGATGGTCTACACAACAACTTTCTGTTATTGTGTAGATTAACCAGGAACCCTCCTTAATGATTCAAGATAACCAAATAAATCCTCTTTATTTGGCCAAGGTTACCCAATAAACTTTTCCCATTGGCTGGAATGACAAGGGGAACCCTTTCTGTTGCCCAGGGGAGCCTTTCCATTGGCTGAGACAACCAGCAAGCCCTCCCTGTTAGCTAAACAGCCCCCGTGAACGCTCGCCGTTGGCAGAGATGACCCAGGAACCTCCCTGCCGGCCACAACGACCAGGCGAACCCTCCCTCCTCCTATCCGACCAGCAGGGACGAGGCGTAGAGTCTGCAACGCGCTCACCCAGCCCAGGCCCTCAGTGACCCGCCTGCAGGGGCTCACCATGATGTTGGGCAGCGTGGCGTAGCGGGGCTCGTTGAGCCTCAGATCGGCGGTCACCACGGCAGGCAGCTTCAGGCGCACGGTCTCCAGGCCCCCGTCCACCTCCCGCTCCACTTTCACCTTGTCCCCCTCCAGCGTCACCTGGGAGGCGAATGTTCCCTGGGGGGGGACAGCGTAGAGGAGGGTGGTGAGGTTAATTCGGGTCGGGCCAGGGCAGTGCTCTGTGTTACCGCTGAGTAGACGCAGATGAGCGAGGGAATGAGACGGCACACGGTGGAGCGGCCCGCAAGATCCCAAACCGGCAGCCACAGAAAGAGAACTCGCGGCTCTGGGGGAGGGTGTCGTTACCTTCCCCGGGAGCCAAGCACTATGTCCTGATGGCCTGACTCTGCCAGGCAGGCCTCCCTACCTTAACAACAGCGCGTACCGACTGAGTGCTGGGCCCTGTTCTAAGCAATTTGCGCGTTTTAAATCGTCAAGTCCTCGTAAGAACTCTGCGAGGTAGAGGCTGTTATGTCTACTTTACAGATGAGGAAAATCGAGGCAGAGAAAGGCTGAGTCACATGCCCCCTGCCACCCACAGCTGGCACATCCGAAAGCTGGCAGTCTGGCTCCCCGAGAACTCCCCGTGAGGCCCCTCCACTGGGCCGACAACGGGACTTTAAACTGCCTTCTGGGACCCCACCCTCCCGCCACAGACGCTTTGCCCCAGTCAGGAAACGAATCGACGTTTCCTCCCCCAGGAACTGGCACGGTCTACACTCCTCTTTGTCTAAGCCACCTGCTGTCTCCATCACCTATTTGTTGGACAAATCTTTTCACGTCCTAGTGTGAACATCACATCACTCGCAGCCTCCTCCAAGTGCCCGTGAGCCCGGCTCTGGGCATACACCATGAACGTGCCCAGGCAACAGCCCGGGTGGGCACAGATGTGCCAGGCAAGGCAACCAGTAACCGAGGAAACACGCAGACAAATGCGATCATGTCGGTTAAGAAGGATACGAAGAAGACAAGACACAATGACGTCAGAGCAAGATGGGGCAGCTCTAGGGAGGCTGGGCAGACAGTGATAAGTGCTTAGAAGATAAAGCAGGAAAATGGTCTAGAACGTGCCGTCCAAGCCGGTAGCCGCTGGCCGCATGTGGCTGCCGAGCGCTTGAAGTATGGCCAGTGCAGCCGAGGAGTGGAATTCTAAATTTTATTTCATTTGAAATATCGATATTCGAGATGCATTTTCATGACTGTGGTGATGGTTTCGTGGGTCTACCTGTGTGTCAAAGCTTATCGAAGTGTACGCTTCAGATATGCCCAGTTTATTTTATATAGCTCAAGAGTAGCTCAGTAACGCTGTTGAGAAAAACAGCGATACTCGATGCAGTTATTGGAAATGGATGTTATTGGAAATGCATGTTATTGGAAAACTTCCAAGTCTGTTTGGAACAATCTGGGTACATGAATCCACTGTTTTGCTGTGAACTTTAGGAATCTACCTTAAGGATTTCTGATGAAAATTTAGCATCCGAATTGTGATGTGCTGTAAAGATAAGATACACACTGGAGTCTGAAGACTTAGCATGAAAAGAAAAAGAATGTGAAATGCAAATGGTCCCCAACTTAGGATGATTCGACTTGAGACTTTTTGGCCCGCGACGGTGCCAAAGCGATGCAGGTTCAGGAGAACCGTGGCAGGTGCTCCCACAGCCCGTCTGTCTGTCACCGCGGCACGGCCTTCAGTAAACCACGAGACACTCGGCACTTCGTCATAAAGTGGGCTTCGCGCTAGATGACTGTGTCCAACTATAGGCTAACGTAAGCGTCCTGAGCTTGTTTTAGGTGGGCCAAGCTATGGTGTTCGGTAGGTTGGGTGTCGGAAATGCATTTTCAACTTGCGCGTATTTCCAAATTACCGCGGGTTTATCGGACATAACCCCATCGTTACTCACGGAGCACCAGTATCTCAGTGCTTTTTATGCTGATTACATGTTAACATGGTATTATTTTAGATATAATAGGGTTAAATAAAATATT